GTCGGCTCAGCCCCTCGCTGCTCCAGCTGACAGCCGGTCCCGGCGACAGGGTCTCCCAAGACTGCTCCCGCGTGGCCCCGCTGGGTCTGCCTCTCCGCGGTCGGCTCCCTCCGCTCGGGCTCCGTCTCGGTCTTTCTCTTTCTGGGCTGTTGACAACCCCCACACCAGGAAGTCCTGCCTCCTCGGGCCTGCTCACTGCTCCTCTCCTCCTCCTCCTCCTCCTTCCCCTCTTCCTCCTCCCTCCTCCCTCCCGGGGCTCCCCGCCAGCTGGCCACCACACCTGCTGGGGCCCAGCCGGTCTCTTCCTCGGGGGAGGGGCCGGAGAAAGCGGCGAGCAGGGGGAGGAGTCTGCGGGGCGGCCAGGGATTCCCTTACTTGTAGGCCCTTGCTGCCATTGGCCCCCAAGGAGCAAACCGGGCATGCCCTGAGTGTCCGGTAGCCCATAAGTGCCAAGTAAATGCTGTGGTGTGGCATGGTGGTTGTCATTGTCATAGCGTCTCTGGTCCGCATGGTAAATGTATGGGGGAAATTCCTATTCTTCACACACACACACACACACACACACACACACACACACACAAATCATCTTTTAAACATTTAATGAAGCCGGGTGTGGTGGTGCATACATGCAAACCCAGAACTCTGGGAGGCTGAGGCAGGAGGATTGCCAAGTTTGAGCTCAACTTGGGAAACTTAACTTGGCCAGACCCCGTCTGAAAATTAGGGTCTAGGGCTGTAGCTCCGTGAGACAGCCCTAGGTTCAAACCCCAGTACCAAATAAATAAATAAATAAATATGAAAACTTTCAAAGTAGACAAAATAGTATAACAGACTCCTGATCATGTGCCTCATTCTGAAGCACCCCTCATGTGACTTGCAACAATTATCTACTCATAGCCAATTTTATTTGACCCCCTCCCCCTCCAGTATCTTTTCTTAGACTTTGCTGGCATATTTGAAATCAAATCCCAGACATCATATTATTCCCTTATTATCTGTAAAAACTGAGACCCAGGAAGCCTGAAAGGGCCCACAGAGGGTTAGGCATGGCTGTGCATGCAAGTAAACCTAGCAATCTAGAAGGCTGAGGTAGGAGAGTTGCAAGTTTGAGCCCAGCCTAGACAGCTTAAAGATAGTGAGACCCTATCCCAAAAATAAATAAATGAGGGCTGGAGAGGTAGCTAGCTCAGTCAAAGGCCCTGGATTTTGGGGAAAGAAAAAAAAAAAAGGATGTCCCAGAGAAGGAGCTGAAGGAGCATTCTAAACACTCACATATGTCCTTGTCCACAGAGACATGGTCACAAAAACCTGCAGAAGTAGGTACTGACCTGCATCTTTTCCCCAACAGCTGCACATACTGGTGTGTCCATGGCAATACCCACGCAGGTTCACTTGAGGACCAGGCTACATACACAGCCCCCTCCCCACCTCAGATTCTGTCCCTCCCCCACCCTCCCCAGCCCATCCCTTGGGCACGGGAAGAACCCACTACCTGTAAAGGGTTTACTCTGAGCTTGGTGTGAAAGAACAAACCTCCAATTGCTGGTTTTTTTCTTCTTGGGGGTGGGGAACCAAAATTCTGAGGGGGTTCTTTCAGCCAGAACAGTATTGAAAAGGTGGATATGCCCCCTCTCAGGTTCAGAGGGACACTGAAAGGTTTTAATTAACTTTGATTAAATGAAACTGTTTTGTATGTTAAAAGTTCCTGACATCTGTGTTGATGCAAGCCTGTAATCCTAGGAGGCTGAGGCAGGAGGATCACAAGTTCAAACCCAGTCTGAGCAACCTAGCAATTTAGTGAGACCCTCTCAAAGTTTAAAAATACTTAATAGGGCTGGGGGTTTAGCTCAGTGGTTCCACCACCCGCTTCACAAGGTCCCGAGTTTGATCCCCGGTACCAAAATAAAAATACTTGATAAAATAATTTTAGGGCCAGGGATTCAGCTCAGTGGTGCCACCACCTGCCTCACAATCGCAAGGTCCTGAGTTCGATCCCTAGTACAAAAAAAAAAAAAAATTTTTTTTTAAAGGCTTAAGGATGTAGCTCAGTGCAAAAGGCTGAGGATTCAATCTCAAGTACTGGGGAATAAAAATGTCTTTCACATCATCTTATAAGGAAAAGGATGAGATGGGTGCGAGTCTCCCTCAGAAGAAACCGAGGTGCAGAAGCACTATTTGCCCAAGACCTCAATGCCAATATTTGATGGAACGTGACTATCATGGAGCAGTCTGGACTCCTAGTCTAGTGCTCTCTCTCTCACACCCCTCCTTCTGATTTAGCTCATGGAAATTTCTAACCACTCCAGGAGTAGGCTAAAGTAAAGCAATATACCCTACACCCTCTGGCCCCTTTGTATGTATTTGATCTTTATTCTTTACAATGCATGTGTCCATCTCCCCGCCCCCTTCAGCCTCGAGGTCCAGGAAGCAGCCTCTCACGTGTCCCCGACTTCTCCAGCCTGTTTCGGCACACAGCCCTCTCCGCTCCACCCACCAGGCCCTCCTTCCTTGGTGCCCTGGTGCCCACTCCTACAAACTCTTCCAAAGGAATCTTTGGACCCTTCCTTTCTCTGCGTGGAGACTTGGCATCATCATGGACTTTTCCATGTCTAGACTCCCTAGGACATGATTCGTCTCTATAAAAATGTTTGTTAAATGAACATATAAATTATTTCACACTAAGGTGTGTGAAATGAAAAGACTTTTCTGTGTTTCAGTATATTATCTCTCCTGGGAGGATTTGTAACAGCCTTTAATATGTGGGCCCCTGGACATACAAAGCACTTACAACCCCTTCTTTCCCAACTCAGCAGGCTTACTGAGGTAAGCATGGAATGAAGCGTCTCTCAGAGAGGTTGTGCAATTGGCCTAAGGCCACACAGCACATTGGCAAAGACTTTGCCACATTAGAGTGGTATTCCTAAATTCCACAGATTGGGAAGTGCATATTTGGGGGGGACTCATTTTTCAGCCACTTAAGGGTAAAACCGATGTCTTCTTGAAGCTAACTTATCCCATGACAGAGCTTGCGCGCCAGAGGGATTTTGAAGTGAGGAATTTCTCAGCGAGCTGGTGTTAAAAGGTCAAGCGAAGGGGGAGAGGTAGCGTCCCGGAGGGCCCTGCGACCGCACCCCAGCGGGGGTCCCAGGCAGAAACCAATTCCACCCACATCCCGGGCGGGCGACGCCCTCGGAGTCAAAGGTTAAGGGGAGGCTGACTTGTGCCACGGGGGCGGACGGGCGGAAGACTTTGAGCCCAGACGGTGGAACAAGGTCCGGGCGCCTGGGAGGCTGCAGGGGGAGGAGGCGGCCACGCAGCCAGCCAACTCCCGCCCTCCCCGCACCTGGGGGGCCGCCACGG